GCCACTATGTAAAATCTCATTGAATAAGTTTTTTTGCGAATAAATTATTTGAAAAGTGCTTAAGAAACTTTATGATTATCCATATGACCCGTTGACCCGGGTTAAATATCTGACCCGGGTCGGAACACTAGTCATTTTTCTTTTGTAAAAATAGTTTATAATTTTTTTTTTACAATAATTATTAAATATATTACGTATAATTTATTTTGAATAATTAAGTTTATATTACTAGTTGATAATACAACACAAGACATCACTTTCGTATTTTTTTGAGATCAATATCATATCTGAGAATAAAACGCTACAAGTCCAGTTAGTTCTTGAATGAACCTCACTTTGATATAGGTTCTATTACTATTATATTGCAGGATTTATCGATAATTTTTTATTTTCAATAATTCACCCACAAACTACATATTTATTGCTTTAAAGAACACCATAAAAATCTTTGTAAATATAATTTTTTTGTACGTAGTGCATCCAAGCTAAAAAAAAATAAATAATTTAATTTGATTTACTGGATATACATATCGAATTTTCTCCATTAAATATAATAGTAGATATTCAACTACCGTAAAATTATCTACCAAATTAATTTATTTTCGAAAGAATATATTTAAAAGTACAAAATATACTAATATCCCCCAAAAAAGAAAATTAAAAAAAAAAAAATTCATTTTTTTTGTTTTTTTTTGTGCATATTTAAAATAAAAGTACAAAGTCTAAAAATTATATTTAAATATTTATATATTTCCGTTCCAAAAAAAATTTCTATTAAACATTTGTTATTTGCTATTTGATATTGTTCTGTTAATCACACATACTACCACTACCACTACCACTAATAATAATAATGTAGTACTCAGTGATTTGGGTTAATAATATTCTTTCAATAATGATAATACCGGATACAGTAAGTTGGTATATTATTTATAAATATTTTTAGAATTTTTTAATATACCAGATTTACCTTTTGTAGTAATTAAAGGAGGAGTAAATTTAGAAATTGGTATAAAAGGGAATTTTGAATCATCATTAATTGGAGAAATTGGAGACATTGAAGAAGAAGTTGGAGAAGTAGAAGAATTTATTGAATTTGGTGATATAGGAGAAGTTATTAATGGAGAATCAGTTGAAGAAGTTGAAGAAGTTGGAGAATTTAAATTAACCATTTCTACGATATCAGATTTTAAATTATTATAAGTTTTAACTCTTCTTGGACCATTAATTAATTTATTATTTAATGATGATGTTCTTGGAGTTACTTTATTCATAATATCATTACTAGAATCCGGAGAATATTTTGATAAAGTAGGTGAAGATGGTATTCTTGAAAGTTTTTGAGAATTATTAATATCTTTATTATTATCATCATCATCATCATAAAATTCATTAACTTGATTTTTTGTTGATAATTTAATATCATTATTATTTTCATTATCACCAATTATTA